GTTGGAGGGCCGGACTATAGTTTAAAAAAAATCTATGAACAAATTCCTATGCACACTGCACATATCTTATTTTGAAGTAAAAAAAAAAAACAAAACAGACAAAAGCACCCTCATGTGGCCTGCGGGCTGTAGTTTGAGGACACCTGGTAAGTAAAGAGCATTTTAGTTGGAGTCTGAATCATGAATATGAATTACTAGTCAAAGGAATGGGTAGAGACCGTTCAAGCAGAGGCAGCATCAAGTATAATGTCACAAATTTGGCAAGAGCATGGTTGGCTCCAGAAGAAAACAAGCCACCCTGAGCTGCTGGGCCACAAAATGCAAAGTAGGCATAGCACCTGATAAAGCTGGACGGGAAGGTGGATTGAGTATCGGGAGGCTAGAGTGGAAGGGAGAGGCCAGCACAGATGAGAAATGATGGTGCTTAGCTTTGGGTGTTATCAGGAGAGATAATTAAAAGTGGTGGAATGTGAAAAACGATTGAGAAGGAGAGCATTTGTAGGACTGGTATTAGATTTGGTATATGGGGAGAGGAGGAGGGAGTTATCAAGTACTATTTCTGGGTTTTCAATTTACACAACTGAATAAAGGAATACAATTTACTGAGATGGAAAAAACTGTGGGCAAGATCTTTTTCTTTTTTTTTCCTTATGGATGGACAGGAATAGAGTGGAGAGAGAAATTGTGGATTTAGGTTGTGATTTGTTGAGTTTGAAGTGATTTTAAAATATCTACATGGTGAGGTTGAATTGAAAATATGTAGATTGCTCTAGAGATCAGGGAAATGGTCTGGCCAGAAGGTATACATTTGGAAGTTCGTGAAATTTAGATGGCATTTGAGGCCAAGTATGGAATAAATCACCAAGGGAGGCCCTGCAGGACATGTATTAAAAGAGTGATCTTTATCTTTCATGGTCCAAGCTGGCTCTGTTTAGGATCAGCTAATTAAATATACTTTTGCTTGAAAGTAAATATATAATGACTCTCTTGGTCATTGATAATTTATCAAGATTGTTTAGTAGGCTAAGAAACCTAAGTAGAGCTAAGAAATTGTAATTTGGAGAATATATTTTATCTAAACAATTATCAAACAGAAATGTCTTCTTCCTACCCTAAAACCAGAATTTTACAGTCTCAAGGGATTAAGATAAGTATGGACATGTACACATCTTTCTACAAAATAATCCCTTGAGAGCGTCTGTGTGTGTATATGTGTGTGTGTGTGTGTGTGTGTGTGTATGTGAGAGAGAGAGAGAGAGACAGAGAGACAGAGAGAAATAGAGAGAGAGAGAATTAAACTGGCTGTTAAACTCTTAATATTACTTATACTACTTTGTCTTTAGCTTTTTTCCATTAAAATCTCACAATTATATAAATAAGGTTTAATAGTAATACAGAAGCACTGACAAGATTAGATCTTCAGAACAAGGAAAATGAGTCCTGAGAAAATGGGCCATAGAGCAAAGTATGCAATTCTTTGGGTGATTCTGGAAGAAGCGATTCAGAAAAGTGGCTACTGGCTATCTGTGACATGAGGTTACCATGATAACCCCGAAGCTGCGAATAAATAAATAAATAATAAATAAATAAATAAATAAATAAATAAATAAATAAATAGGAGATTGCTTCACATTTTTGCATGAGGTCAATCTCTCACCTTATAATGCCGGACACTAAGTATTTCATTCATTGAGTAAGCATTATTGCAGGGTTTCTCAACCTTGACACTATTGACATTTGGGTCTGGATAATTCTATGTTGTGTGCTGTCTTGCATGTTGCAGCATGTTTAGCGGTATTGCTAATTTATGTCCCACTAGATGCCAGTGTCTATCCTATCCTAGTTATGACAATTCAAAATGTCTACAAATATTTGGGGGGTGTTGGAACGGGGCAAAAATGTCCCTAGTTGAGAGCCACTGATGTGCTGAATGAACAAACATTTCATTTCTGACAAATCGTGGCTATTTGAGTCCTTCTTGTCCTTCCCAACTATATCCAGGAAGATAGAAGGGTCTTAATTCCTAAACAGTATGAGGTAGAACCTCTTGGTCACCATGTGGTCAGAGGCAGAGGTCACAGGTCAAGTCAAGTGCTGATGGACACATTTAGTGAGGACCAGTGACCCAGGGTTCCAGGCTGTGGATTGCCTATTAGCCAGCAAGGTTCAACCTGGGCACACATATGTGCCTATTTTATGTCTTGTAGGCTTTATGAAAGAAGGTTTTCACAAGATGATAGTGGAACCCTTGTGAGGTATCTTAGCAGTTAGGTCAGAGGTCAGCTCCAGAGGTTTAGGTCAAGTTACTTACAAAGAACAGTCTGAAAAACAAGGGAGTGAATCTGCCATCTCATGAGCATGACATTTCCTTTGAAAACATAAAATTTAATGACCAAATAAGAAGTAGTTATGATCCTTCAGTTTGAATTTGCTTATGCATGTGACTAGTAATGCTATCTGACATATTTTTATTCTGGCTAGTCCTGTACATAGAATATATCAGCAGACATCTACTGCACAACATTAAGGGTTATACAGTACTCAAATTGAGGCTATAAGTCTTCATAGTACTGTCTTTCCCCAAAAATAAGACAGGGCCTTATATTTATTTTTCCTCAAGAAGACACCTTAGAGCTTATTTTCAGGGGATGTGTCATTTTCCCCTCAAAGCCTCAGCTTGCAGCACACACAGGATGGCCAGGACCTGAAGGGTGAGCCGACCCTGTTGGTGGGACTGCCCGCACCTGTCCAGTCACCTCTGGGATAGTAGCTGTCATGATGGGGTAGATGAGAAGGGCTGCTCCTCTTCTTTACCTCCCCGGGATTGAATGCATGGGTTGTGCAGATGCGCTGTGTAGCCACGCCCATCACTAGGTCTTATTTTGGGGGTAGGGCTTATATTGTGCAAATGCTTAGAAATCCTGCTAGGGCTTATTTTATGGGTAGGTCTTATTTTCGGGAAAACATGGTACCTTGTTTTATACATGCATGTACGCTGTAAGGCTTATATTGAAGCAGTTAACATATATGCCTGTAGGTTAAGGGTAGTTTCTTATAATAGCTCTCTCTGGGGATAAAACAATGTGTGCTTCACCAGCATTTCTCTGGGTGTCTTTGACCATACCATAATATCAAGCAGTTCTGCATAGTCCTGGAAAACACAGCTAAACTGCCTCCTGGTATGACGTGCCATAGGACAGCAGCCAAGTAGAAACATGTATTGTTATGACAATACAGGGATATAAAATCATGTTGGTTGCCAGCAGGAGTGGAAATCTAGTGACCTAAATGAACTCAACCAGAAATCCATTAAATAAATGATTTAATTTTTGGTCCATCCAGCAATTGATTACATAGTGCTGGAACAGAAGCAGTAGCAATATCAAAAGCAGCCGTGAAAGCCTGAGTAGAATTATTAAGAGGAATTAACTGTTGTAGGAAGTGAATAGATGTCTGATATTAAGGGGCTCAAACTACTAGAACAATAAATTTATGACAAGGCTGATTTATTCCTTGTGCAATGAAAATATTTCCACAGATTGGTCATGTCAAAACATCAGACTATAACAGGTGTCTCAATGTTTGAATGCACTGTGATGTTCAACATTTTTTGCCTTTTGAACAAACTAAAAACGAGTGAACAATAGCTTCCTGTACAGGAGACCATATGATCTTTCATGTTAGAGAGGTAGGGCAGGGTATAAATACTGCATAAAATAGGAATGGCAATATGTAGCTATTGCAAGGCTCACATTCACATTATGAATATTAAATACAGTAGAACCTGATCAAGGTGAACTCAGCTGTGTCGTATTATTTGTATAGTAACAGAAAAACACGTCTTTTTCTTTTTTATAATGCTTTACTATAAGGATTAACTATAACTCTAGCTTTAAAACAAAATTCATAAACAAACAAATGCCAAGCTCTATATTTCAGAAAATGAAAAAAATAAGATTATAAAGGAATCCCACCACAATGTAAGGTATTGGGAGTAGAGAATTGTGGTATAGGATTCCAGGAAAATCCTTTACCAGTTTCATGGAAGGAGTCTTAAAAGAATCACAGGGCTTTTACTTTTTACTTTTATGTTCACTAAGAATAAAACACAGGGAGTATTCAACTCTTTTGGCGTTGTGGGGATTAGACTATTTAAGATTGCAGAGAGAAAAGGATAGAAAAAAGGCTCATGTGATTATTATGGTGTTTTATTTCCAATGACTCAACTCTGAGGCAGGGGAAACAGTTCCTTTGACTTTGACTACCTATAATTGTAGAGAATGTAGAAATAGTGACCTATAAGCCAATAAACTATGACAAAGAGCTCATTTTTACAAGTGTGAGGCTTCTCAATTTTTGATCCAAATATAGAAAAGTAGATTTTTATGATCAAGTATTTTCCTCTTTTCCTATTTCCAGATGTATATTATTAGTCACTAGAGATAAAGTCAAATGAATAATTCATTTTTAAATTTATTTTATTTTTAATTACTTTGGGTATATAATAGTTGTATTCTTATGGGCTACATGTGATGTTTTGATTATAGTCACTCTGTTATGTTATCAAATATTGTGCATTCTGTCTAACTATATAACTATATTTTTGAACTCCTTAACCATCCCCACTTTATCCCACCCTCCCCACTAGCTTGCCCAGCCTCTGGTAACCATCATTCTACTCTTTGTCTCCATGAGATCAATTATTTTTAATATTTAGCTCCCATATATGAATGAGGACATGTAAGATTTGTCTTTCTGTGCTTGGCTTATTTCACTTAACGTTCACCAGTTCCATCTATGTTGTTGAAATGTCAGGATTTCATTACTTTTGTGGCTACATAATATTCCATTGTCTAAATGTACCACAATTTCTTTATCCATTCATCCATTGACAGACACTTAAGTTGATTCCAAATTTTGGGTGTTGTGACTAGTGCCAATAAACATGGGAGTGCGGATATCTTTTCAATATGTTGAATTTCTTTCTTCTGGATACTTACCCAGCAGTGGGATTGTTTGGTCATATGGGATTTTTATTTTCAGTTTTTGGGGAACCTCCATACCATTCTCCATAGTGGTTGCAGTAGTTGACATTCCCACCAACAGCGTACAAGTGTTCCCCTTTCTCCATGTCCTTGCCAGCATTGGTTATTGCCTGTCTTTTTGATCAGAACCATCAAATGAACAATTCTGAGGTGCACTCAAACTTCTTGCTCTCCACAACACCTGTCTTGGTTCTGGGGGTAGAAAAGCCCCTGGTTTCTAGTGATACATTCTATTCCAGAGCCTTGGTTGTATTCCAATATGTAAATGAGATTAGTAGCAATAGTAAGAGAAATAATAGCATATAAATAGCAATAGAGTAGCAGTAATAGAAGTATATTTAATGTATAGATGACAGTAACAGTAATAGTAATGGAAGTAATAGTATAGTGACCTCCAATAACTAGTAGTCGTAGTCACTGGGGGACCCCATTCCTTTACGAAGACTACAAATTTTTCACTTCCTTAATTATTTCTACAGAGAAACTCAGGGCATTTATAGAAACAATGAAATGAAAGATTTTTAGTTTGAGAAATAAGAAACAAAGCTGGCTATATGTAATAATTAAGAATTATGGTGATTAAGGTTGAGGAGACAGACTTTCTGGATTCAAATCATGGCTTTGCCACTTACAAGTCCTGTGATGGTGGAAAATGTATTTCTCCTTTCCGTCCTCTTATTTTTCTTGTTTGTAACATGAAGATAATAATTTCATTCAACGTTTAAGGTTGCTGTAAAGATTAAATACATTTTTTTCATGGCAAGTAGTAAGTGTTCAACGGGTGCTGTCTATTATTATTTTTCACTATTATACCAAGATTATATCTTATGTCATTAGATCACAAGTTCAGACATTTTGAAGAAGGCTGGGAGGTGGGGTGGGAGAAAAAATTAAAAAGAAAAAAAAAAAAAAAAAAAAAAGAAGGCCGGATTGGAAATTCCTGGATGGAAATGCAGTGTAAATTTGTGATTCCTCTTCACTTTTAAACCAGTGTTTCATATGGAAAAGATGAGAGAACAGTAAGATGTGTTGAGGGTTTCTATTCGTCATTTTGACATGTATCATTTCAATTAATACCCATACAAAGGTTTCAAGAAAGATTTTATCACCATGTATAGATGAGAAGACCCAAAGTGAGAAAAGTTAAGTAAGTTATTGAAATATACATGTAGCTGCAGAAGGGTTTGAATCCAAATATGCTAAGCAAAGATTTTTTTCTACTTCATCGGCAGTGCACATTTTTTACTCTTCATGGCTCCACAGTGGTCCTGGATGTCAAGTTTCCCAAGAAGAGCTCTTCCAGTCACAGAGCCACTCCTGCGGGGATAGCTCCAGGCTATAATAATCCAAAGACACCTTGAAATTGAAACTGATAGATGTGATTTAAATGGAGATTCTTCTCCTCCCATCTACTGCCTTGCAAGGTCCCTAGACCTTATCTAAACTCTTGGTAGAACTCTAAGACACCTGTGTCCTACAGTCTGTCCTACACCTGGCAGTGGTGTGATGAACTGAAATCAACTCAGAATCTGGAGTTCAAAGAGTGATGTATTCAAGAGCTTATTATCTATTTTAAAATTTTACACCTAGATAAGTCTTATGAGGCTCTAAAATATGTCTTGCAAAAGATAGAGGGGTATGACCTAGTTTCAGAAAAACACAGATGGTGCTACACTAGATGGGATTGGGAAACAGGTTCCAAGTGAGCCCCACTCTGATCACTTGGAAGTGGCAACTTGCCATGCCATGTTGCAAAGGTTCTGAGGCTGCATTCAAACACAGAAGAAGGATTGCTGCCATCAGTTAGCAATGTCTGGCATGGCCATGAAGAGGGGGATTGGTATCACTCAAGCCATTCATTTATCATCACTGGGCTGGAAGTAGTGCAGAATATTCAGTCAGTTTGAATGTGACATTTATCATCCATGAATTGATTTTACAAATTCTCCTGGCTGTGTAGGTGGGCCTTCTTTCCTTGCTAATTTTTATGCACTCCTCCTGAAGATGTGTGCTCTCTTGGAATGAGAACTAGTACTTGGTCAAGTAGCTGCATTTTTCTGCCAAAAGCAACAAAAACTAGTTTATGAGAAGAAACACCCACACACCATTATATTTATTTTAATATGTTTTTGAGAATATTGGGAATTTTCTCAGAATCTTCATTATTTTACTAATATAAATATCACATATTTAAGTAATAGCAGTAAATTACAAAAACATAACACCAAGGAACATTTTAATAGTTTAGATCATGGATTTGAAGAATGAGCCAATATTTCTATTAATACATTCTATTAGGCAACATAATTCTTTGAGCATAGAATTGTATAAAACTAAGTTTTGCACTCAGGTTCTCTCAAATTTGTTTTAATTTTACTGTTCATGGATCATTTCCAAGGAAAAAATTAAATGATGGAAAGATTAATGCTTTGAGGAGCTTCTAAGTATTTTATTTCTGCATTGACTGCTATGCTTTTAACCTTGAATGATATTGATCCATATTTAATAGAGAAGTTGGTAGATTCTTTCCCAGAATATCTTGAGTTGAGTATTAGCAATTTAAAGAAGCAAATGTATAGATAATATCCTTGCAATTAGCTACAAATGTATTGTTTCAGGTATTAACTGATGGATTAAAGAAAGAAATCAGTAAAAACAGGTATGCATCCTCTTTTTCCACAACTAAGATGACATTTCGATTTATAGATTTATTTAGTATTTGAAAAAATACATACAATTAAAAAAATAATTTTTAAATAACAATATCTTGGATTTTCTTACTTAAGCACTAAATAATTCCAAGGAAAATAACCAACTATTCTTATTTCCAAATGTTGCATCAAGTTTCACATAGCCATATCCCATAGAGTTGTCTTTTAACACATGAAGATTAAATAGATATAAATTGCTGTTCCAAAAATATATTTGTTATACCAAGTGAATTCAGTTTACTTCTAAATCATAAAGCTCTGCTTTCTTTTACATCTGTATTATTACATCGGTAGATGGAAACTTTCCTGAAATAAATAAAGTAGACTTTACGCCTGAACATGGCTGCAGAAGTCAGTGTTTTGACTCTTAGCCTCTTGCAAATCATAGAAATAGCAATGAAGAGAATGGAAAACCAAGAAACAAAAGTCCTACAAATTTCCTTTTCAATTGAACTGGGAGACAGATCTAATACATATACTCCAAAATATATGTAAGAGCTACCAGGACCTTCTGAAATCTGGTGGAAGCCATGAAGGAGGAATTAAAGAGAAGAAACACAAGCATGAGAAGAGCCAGGGAAAGCAGATTTCAGAAAACAGAAGCAAGTAGATAATTCCTGAAATAGCAAAAGATTTCACCTTTGCTTTAATAATGTTTCTAAAACTAGGGTGAGCTAAGCTAGAGACACAGGCCCTTTCAGATTCAGTTTGTCTCTGAAAAGGCAACGGAGTGAGCAGTTTGTCTCTGTGGAGACAGAGGAGGGAATAGCTGCAGAACTGCCTGGTAGGTCGTGAGAATAAACTAGGGGAACTTCAGCCAAAGACTGAATATGTCTTATTGTAGAGCAAAGACTAAAACAATTACAAGGATTAGAGGGATGATGGTATAGAATGTAAGTCTCAGTGGTTATAACAGAGAAGGAAAGATCTACCACTGAGTACAAAACAACCCATGCCTCCAGTTCTAGTTGTAACATATCCTTGATTGTAAGACATATCTCAGTTTTAGAGATATTATTATAATACGTGAAAAAATGGGCTTCTTCCATTGACTAAATTCTGGTAAAAGAAAAATAAAGCATATGTCCTATCCAAAGGAAAATATGAAATATTAATAGATAATATTATTGAAAAATATTGTGTGAATAGAAATGCTACTTTTATCATTGTTCATAGAGAGCAAATAGATATCGTTAATATCTAAAAGAAATACAGCCCTATGAATATGCATAAATTTTAAATTAATTATAATGACAACCAATCTGGCAAAAATGTTATACTTTCTATATATCAGAAGGGCTAAACATATTATCTACACTAACATGTGTACAAAATGTAAAATGAATCAAATAACAAAGTTTATATCTTGCTCATGCAGTAGATCCTGGTAGATGTTACAGGTCACTGAGGGCTCTTCTAAGCACAGTAATTCAGGCATCCAGGCTCTTTTGATCTTGGGCTTCTATCATATCCTCGGGCTTTATTATCACCTGCCAGCAGCCAGCAAATAGGAAAGGACCACAGAGGAGGTGCAAACTCTTCTTAAAAGCCTGGCACAGGGAAAGAACTCATTACTCGCCTTCATATTCCACTGACTTGGTTACTCCTGTGGGCACCCCTAACTGCAAGGGACACCGGGAAGTATAGAGTTGAGTTCGGTATGCAGAAAGAAGAGGCAGCCAGATTTGGTGATTAGTTTATAGTCTAGCCTTCACCTCAGAAAGGAAAAAAAAAGAGGATAGTAAAATAATCTGGGGAAAATTAAAAAGAATGAATAGAGAAAGATAAAAATCAGGAATTAATAGATTTGAAAAAAGAAAAATTATAGAACTACTGAATGAAGCCTGAAAGCAAGAAAAGGTATAATTTCTGCTAACTTTTAAGTTAAAATAGAGTGAAGAATTAAGAATATGTCTTCACATAGTTTGTATAAGCATAAGACAATGAAAGGTAGATACAAAACAAATTACAGTGGTTGCTGTGGATATTGGAAGGGATGGGAATTAGATAAGGAGATAAGGTGGGAGGAATCTTCTTATTGTATATATTTTTACTTTCTTTTGATTTTTGGACCATGTGAACATATCACTCATCTAAAAAATAAGCACAACATAAAATAAACTAAAACAAAATAATAAAAAATATTTAAGCACAATCAAATTTGTAAACTTTAGCTCCAGGGTCACTTTCTATAACAGATTTTTAGAAGGAGAAAATACTTTTTACTAGGAGCCTTCTAAACAGTCAATTAATGATGCACTAT